CAGAATGTCTATGAGTGAGTGAGAGATCTGTTTCAACATACAGAAATGTCTTAGAGACTGAAGAAATTCCAGGGAACCAACCAATGTGTCACATGCTTGAGAAAAGCTTCAAGGTAGTGACTTCTATCTCTGAAAGATGGGGAGTTGTTTTCGATCTCAGGAATTTATTAGAGAAATCAGCCATGCCTTGTTGTGACCATATAGAGCTTCAGACTTCCAATCAACGTCTCTGAATGGTAGCCAAAAATCTTAGTGGCGCAGGATGATTTGAGAGACGAAGAGAAAAAAGTTTTCAATGGCTGCCATAGGTGTGTGCAGTGATAAGAAGCCTAACCCTTCGATGAATGTCTGTAAGTAGGGCGCAATATTTTTCATCACAGAAAGACACTTACGAGCCACAACGAAATTTTCAAGCAACCGATCAAAACATCAGAATTTAGGGGGGGGGGGGGGGCAATGTATATGTGAATGGGTGTGGGTATGAATGCAATGTAAGTGTGCTTGAGTGTGAATGTGGGTGGATTTCGGCTCTCACTACACCCACGCCTACACTCATTTGCAAGGAAAAGAGTCATGCATGATCTAGCATGTTTTGCCTAAAAAGTGGAAAACAAAACCATGATTGCATGCATACGGTTGTCAATGGCATGCCTATGCATGTGCTACTGTTTTGCATTTATAAGCAACAATTGCTGATATTTTAGTAACTTGTATGTTTTGTCTTCTAAAGTTTCGTGTTTGACTAGGTAGTTCAAATAGTTGATGGTTGATCTTGGATAAACAACTTTGATTTCGTAAATTCTCGAATTCTGTATTTATTCGAGTAATATTCACTTTGAGAGTACGCTTTTATTCGTATTACTACAGTCCTCGACTTACTCAGCGAAATGTGCAAAGTATGAATCACTCCTTCTTTTTCTTTTAATCCTCTTGAAATGATAGCAAAACTCATACAGGTCAAATTTGAATTGAAGTAGACAATAGGAATGCTGATAGTTTTTTATGTCAAATAGTTTACAGATTCCTTCTCACTTTTTTTTCACAGTAAATTCTAACTGGTACATCAAAATAAATAATTGATTTGATAAAAAAATAAAATGAGTTCGAGATTATTCTAAAAATGTTGAATTTATTTTTGAGTAAAATTTGAAGGAATAAAGACTAATAAATCTAAGGAATGTAATTTCATCATATCAGGCTCGATTTTACTTAAATTACTGTATTTTAGTGACTTCTACTTGGAAAAGAATTATGAAAACCTTCTACGCAGAACTTATGCACAGTTGAGGCTATTGTGAGCTTTTGATCGCACGGTCGGTCATATATACTTATGGTGTAAGTCGAGATTTATGATTTCCGGAGTGTATTTATATCACAAAGAGTGTTTCTTTATACTTACATACGTAATTAAACATTGTAAAAGAACGTCTGCACAACTGAGAATAAACGAAACATTGATGGGTCCACATATAATCATTTGAGATGGCAAATTTTTAAATCATTTTTTCAATACTTAAAATTTGCTTTGAACGATTCAATAATTTTATAGTGAAGGCTCTATTGAATAGTTAAAAGAAAACTACATATGTTATACTGTAAACGTGGATGAGATTGTTAGCAAGTGTTGATGACTTTTTGTCCGGCAGGAGTTGAAAGGTTTGGTAATAGAAAATTCCTTTTACAGTTTAATTCAGTTATTAAAAATAAGCAGGTCTCACAAAGAGTTGATTGAAAACCATAGATTTTGCGAGTTTCTAGAATACTCAGAGTTGTATGAATTTCTCCATCTATTTTAGTTCTACGGATTTTATGAGATCAGAGAGTTCGTAGTGTTTCTTGAGTCCTAAGACTATCATATAGTATGTAGTATTAAAATGTTTACTTTTTAACAGATTTTGGAATTTCGTCAATTCTAGGACTTTCGAACTTGGAGATATTTGCCAGATATTCTACTATTTTCTTCAGGATTAGAAAATCAAGGGTGTTTTAGTAATTCGCAATGCTTGCATGTAGAATAATCATCAATCTAAAAAGACTGCTGTCAAACAGAAATATCTCAATCAGAATTGCGTTCTTGATGATACATCTCATCTAACTGAATTGAGTCAGGATTTCAGAGCTAACAAATCTTAAACTCTCAAATTAAATGAATTTTATGAGTTAGTATCAACAATGCTTCTTCAATACAGTGATGTCAGTGATTTTCGAAACATGTTTTTGACTCCTATTGTGACAACTGTTATATATTCCTATGACATTATTAAAGCAAACCGTCAGATTAGCTAGCGTTGTACGAAGTGTGAAACAAAGACTTCTATGAGGACTCTCTATTCATAATAGCAACAAATTAAAACAAATAAATTCAGTTGAATATAAAAGAAACACTAAAAAAAATAAACGAAAACTGAAACAAGATCATAATATCAAACAATGGAGCGATCAGGTAACAACTTGTATCTCAGTCAGACAGAAAATGTTTGACTAGTTAGGAAACATAAAGTTGAAAGTAGAAAATCCAAAAAAATATGGTACTCTTTGTGATCTATCCTTTCAGAGACGAAACAGTTCAAGTTGCCGAATGTAGAATGAAATACCCCGCAAAGTAAAAGCTGTATGTAACCGCGACTATGATAAATATGATCATTTATCACGTAAGAAAACTGAGAGTTTTGTGAAATAAAACAGAGTCTCAATTCTGCTGCTGTTATTTCTCTTTTATCATTGAAACTAAAAGAATACAAACTGAATTCATGAAATACGTTCATTACCACTAATATGATAGCACTGGAAACTTATGAAGTAAGCTTCAACATACTTTTTGTTGTAATTTCGTCGATGAACGGTAAAAAAATATTGAATACGAAGTATTATTAAACTTGAGTATAATAAGAAGCATTTTTTTCATGAAAGAAGCGTGTCAATAGCAGTAAGCGACGAGAAATTTAGACTTTAGATTGATCATTTAATAAGTAGAGCCACATATAGGTTATATCTGTTAAGTAAGAACACAGATTGTTTTCTGCTAAATTCTGTCGAATTGAATATGCTTTTACCTTTAACTTAATTACATATACCAAGTTTCTATGTAGCAGAGTGCGGTTTGATCGTCACAAGACAGATGTAGCATATAATCATATTGTCTGCAAGTGGTTCTGGATAACACATAACGACTGAGAGTTTGTCAAAGGCAGATGCCCAGTAAGTCGATCAAATTATCATTCAACAGATTTCCAGCTGGATTCCATCGGTTTCTCTTTTAGTATAGTTAATATTGCAATTTTCTATTCTATTAAATACTTCAATAAAAATCAAAAACTTTATAAATTGGATTAAACTTAAGAAGGACGTCTTAAGAGCACGGTTTATTCTAGACTTTATCTAGTCTTAATAGATTCTATTTAACGAATAAAGTTTCATCTCAAAAGTTTCTTATAACTTGAAACGTTCCGTACGTGAGACTATCAACCACCGTATCATACCATAAAGTCAAAATAAAAATCGATTAATGTCAGACTTTTTTTTGCGTATGGTAATTGATTTGCATGTGGTCATAATTCGCTCAAAAAGACTGTTTCCAATCGATTTTAATTTTAATTTTGTAGCAGAGTAATGAAAAATTATGATTCTAATTATGTTAATATGATTTTGTAATCTCAACCAAATTCAATAAGTAGAAGTATTCATTGAAAAAAGAACGAAGAGGTATTTCATTCTTCAAAAAACAAGCTTTTTCGCCGATTCGTAATACACTAATTTATTTCATTGCTATATTTTATTCGTATATTTCCTAGAAAATGCTGGGAGCAATAGAAGAGGTCTAACTCTACTAGAACGATGTGTTCAAGGTGTAGCTGTACAAAATAAAAATTGTTTAGATTCGCTTTTGACAGTAAATTTAACAATGACGAATGGATAGAAACGCCACTGGAGCTAACAGAAGATGATCGCTGTTGTACGTTCCGTCATCATCAATCATCATTACTGATCACTTGAGGAGATTTTTTAGGATGAAAATAGTCTAAAGAAATTTGACGATCTTTCATTGAAACGAAAACGACAAGAAGACTTCTTCCTTAATTGTCTTTCGTTTAATCGAATATATACAAATTATGATTGTTTTTTAGCAATGACAGAAATATTTCGAGTAAGAAACATGCAATAGTTCGTCAGCTTACTCTGTTTTTTTAAAATAAAACGAAAGTAGTAAAGCATCATAGGTAACTTTAAAGCTGACACTTTCCAAAAAATATGACATGAACTTTATTCTCATTTTTTTACGTATAAAAACTAGAATCCTATATTCTTTTGTTTGAAATTAACGTTAATCACATGGCCTGAGTAAATCATTCGTCATAAAACTAACGCTTGGACAAGCATTTTTTTCTAGCTAAATCTATAGATTAATTTTTATCCATTGTTCTCTACACTTATTTGAGAACACAGTTGTGCAAATTCTCGCAAAGTCCGCACGATCAGTGTTCAGTGAGTTTTATTAAAAATTGTAATAGACAAAAAGATTGCTTGTTCTAAAGTTTTCAGTGAATCTCGTCTTTCATCCATTGAAATATAAAGGACATAAAAGTGTTAAAAACGTTTCGGAAGAAGCAGTTATGTGTTAATGAAACTTATGTTAAGAAAATTGATATAAAATTAGACAACGAAGAATTGATAGATAAGGAAATAGCGGGCATTCAATATCGGACGAATTTCTATCATATTAACAATTCAATATAAAAACTTTAAATCACTTTAATATCGTCATGAAAATATATCTTGATATGAATATTAGAATTCATATCACACGTATTGGAGATCTGTAGACATATCAGATTGAATAAACCAGTATAATTAAAGTCGGATGGTCGTAAAAGTTGATTATTGTCATAAGGCAAAACAGATGAATGTTGACGAAAATATTACCGCGTACAAAACTTATTGTTTATTATTTTTCAGATATTTATCATTTTTATATTTCGTGAGTAGCTTTCTTTTTGTTGAAAATGGCTACAAGTGGTGGAGAAGAAGCGATAGCACAGCGCATTTTACGCATTACAGATATTCTCCAGGAGCCGCTTGAATTTATCACACCCATTGGTGGCTATGAAGAAATGCCACTTGTTCCACTGGAAATAGCTGTTGAACCGCTTGTTCCTATTCTACCAGCTGTTCGAAGTCATGCCTATGTTGCCAAACAACGATGTAAGAATCCTGCCGATGAATTGACACAAGATGAATCCGCCTCAATTATGTTATACACGATGGGGTGGAAGCCACTCGATAAATGCCTATACTTCGTTTTGAATGATACATTACGATCACCCGATCGACAACAGAAGCTCGAATCATGGTATTTATTTCTGAGACTCTTCCTTAACGCACTCTCTCGTCTTCCATCACTCCATAAAACTGCATACAGAGGTGTTAAATTAGATCTAAGCAAGCGCTACATTAAAGGAGAAACAATCGTCTGGTGGGGTTTCTCTTCTTGTACAACAGCTGTTAATGTTTTGAATTCCAATCAATTTTTGGGAGCGAAAGGTGATCGTACGATGTTTACCTTACAGTGTCTATCGGCTAAAGATATTCGTAATCATTCGTATTATCCAGCTGAAGACGAAGTACTTCTGATGGCTGCTACTCAGTTCAAAGTAATCGGTTGTCTTAATCAAGGTGATCTTCATATTATTCAATTGGAAGAGACTCCTCCACCGTTTCCACTCATGCAACTAGTACCAGTTATTATCTCCCCGCCGATCGATCCAACTTCTTCGGGTAAGTGAAAATCAAAACGAAAGAATATTCCACTTGATAAATAATA